AGACAATAAACGGATAAGAAACGCTGACAAACGTGCTCTACAAACTTCAAAAGAAGCCCGATCTGCCCGTCGATTGAAGATTGCAACAAAAAACGAGCTATATAAAGAGGAAGAGGAAGTACTATACGGTCCTGGGATCGCTGACTAGCTGTAAGTACTACTTAAACTTTAAACGCGTTTTTCTCGAAACGACGTTTTTAAAGTTGGTGGAAGTTCTGTATAAGTCCCAAATTATGCGATCGATATGATTTTGGTCTTAAAATGTTCGGAAATACCGCCTCTCTAAAGTAGACTAGAATAAAGAGAAAATATTGAAAATTTTTTGTTTTTGAATAAATAACTGCAATTTTTCGTAAAAATAACACATTTTTTGTTTGAATGACTACAACTCACTCAAAAATTTTAGTAATTTTTTTATTTTAGTCTATATGAAACACAAACCTCTATAAATTATAAAAATTTTTGTTTTTTTTTCAGGTCATTTTTCAGGTCATTCTTCTAAGGACTTCCACCAGCTAGCCATCTCGTTCCGCCGCACACTCCGCCCATCCGGTCCGCCCAGCTTGTCTATTACTTAAATGTCATAGCGATTTTTTTATCTTTAATTAAGATAAATTTAAATATATTCAAAATTTTAGAATTTTATCTTTAATAGTTCCTTTTCTATAAATTCCAAAATATTACCCATTTTTCTTGGCCAACAAAGTAGAAATCCCCCTTAAGAACTTCCTAGCCGCAGTGCGATAGTCACTTTCGTATGATTTGACTTTTTAATATACTTCAAGTATTAAAATAAATACTTCTACTTAAGTATCTTACTTTCAATTCTTCGTGTACTCCAATCACACTCAAAAATTTTTAAAAGTGGACTGACTAAGATCATGGAATCGGGACAATAAAATGAACTTTTCAATTAAACATAATTTTATTATTTAACTTTTCGTTATAGTCGGAATTTAGTAACAAACTTAACATGTACATAATTTTTATTCAATTACCCTTATAGAAATATCATACTAAGAATCTTTGATTAATTACTTATTTTCAGTATTAAAAGTACAGTATTTAGTAATATTCTGTGATTCAAATACAGCTTTTAGTACTCAAGTATTTCAATATTTAATGTTACAAATCCTACCTTATGATTGATTTCAATACTTAAATATTGATATGTAATACTTCGTCCAGTGATAAAATACTTACGCAGAACA